CCACGTTCGGGTCTTGTATGCGTGTTTCGGAGACACAGCACACATCAATTTTAAGGGAGTACAAGGTTTCACCAAGCATTGCCTGTTTTCCAATTTGACATAGAGTACGGACGTTAAAAGCACCTATATATCTCGTGGGTTTAGAAAGGTGTTATTTTGTTTAATCTTTGTAGGCAGCGAGGAGCATAAGGCCCTTCGGTCAGAGACTGACAGTCAAATGGCCCAGCGACGTTTGCTTGTGCAGTGGGAAGGGGTTGGGGGGACATCGGTGGACGCTGAACTGCGCGGGTAAACGATACTTCCCGGTTGCCCAGGCCGAGGGAGGGAATTTGGTTGAGGTAGCTCGTACTTCAATCGGGTAGCATGACAGCTAGGCACCGGAAAGGTGTAACAACTGAACAATAATAATTATTATTGTTATTTTACTATCGTACTCATTCCCATACCAACGAACTGTGGCCCCCCACCCATTGAGACGTCTATTGAGAACTGGCTATCCACCACAAAGAAGTCGGATACACAGATTTCAATACATAGGTGGAACACCTCCGTTGATCAGAAGCCTGACCGCAAAACGTAGTGACAATGGTACAACTCTGTGCTGATCGTTTGTTTCCCAGCAGTACTGGGTGCCTTTGTGTTGCCTGGCGTCTCCCTGTCGCACAGCAGTCTCGAGATCAAACTGACTACATTGTCGTCAGGTACCGATGGTGCGTTTCAGTCCTGGACTGCATATCGTTTTGGTACACATTGACTCAGACTAAACCTCTATTCAGTGCAGGTTTTCATTAGACATTCCAGGTGAAACCCAGTAACGAGTTCGCAGTTTGACAGTAGAGAAACTTTGTGAGTCTACTGCGCAGTGCACTATAAGGACATCGGCCGAAACTGTGATGAGATAGCCACCGCTATACATGCCAGAAATTCTGCTTGTTGTTTTTCGAAGCAAGTGTGCGGATACTACTGGAACTCAGAACGGTCACTTTCACTCCTTCATAAGAGGCACCCTATCCCTTTGAGCTCATAGTATAATTTTACTAGACGATCAATCAGACGACAGCTTACGCGTAGACTGTAGCGAGAGAGCTGTGGTGGGACCAGAAAGCTGAAGAAATGAAAATAGGGCAATACGGCTAAGAATTCTCAAAAGCTGTTTCAGCTAACCCGCAAAACAAGCCCCAAAAAGACTTCCTTAAGTTAATCAAAAATAATATTGGGAGCCCAGTACAAAATATAGACAAGCGTCTAGATCGATGTGTTGGAAATTTTCAACAGTTTAGTTAATCATCCGCTCCTGTACCTATGTCTTTCATTTGCTACACTCATTTTGAGGTGGTCTGTGAGTTTAAATCCTCGATCAGTTACTGAATTACTACTATGCGTTTCTGCCTTGAAGCATTCCCCACAGTGATTTCTCCTATTCCTGCACCGTGTCAACTCAGTTAGTTTGGAACATCTGGACGGTGACCATGAATGAGCATCGCGTTCCTCCAGCTATAATTCCATAACATGAACTCTTGCGCACTTAACTTTTGCTTCGTACATACTCCCGTCTGCGACTGGCCGCCACGCCACCCGAAGGAAGAACGAGGGCTGGACTGCTGCCAGGTTACCCAAACCTAGACAGCAGTTGAACCTAGAACCTTCCTGTCAGTAAGTTCGCACGTTAACAAGTGAGGCAGTCAGGAAAGCTTCCCCAGAATCATATATTACAATTGGTAAGGAATCCGTACAAAATGATGGACTTACATGACCCTCAAATTACTCTGGAGGTACTTTGTGTCTGTTTTTTACGGTCCTCAGTAATTTTCGCATCGTATTACCGGAGTTTGCGGCAGACCCCTCGTTTTCCTGCGATCCTACTCAGAGATTGGCCAAGAAATTATTCACGGAAATTTCCTATCCGGCAATCTCGTTGGATGGCGTGTGATATTTGGTTCATGCAGGTGCGTATAATTCTCAATCAATCACTCAATTTATCAGCTATAAACCGTGTGCCATAGGCACACTGGTTCCAGCTGGTACAGTTTCGATCACCGGAACACGGGAAAGTGGGATACAAAGCCAAGCCTCGGAGGCGAGGGCACAATCTCTAACACACCACTACGCGCCACTACGCTCCCCAATAACGCACTGATGGTGTCACCTCAACTGGTGATAAAACGTTTGCAATCAAGTTGCCCAGCTCAGCGAACAAGCCAACGACCATCTAGGCTACCTGAGATATCAACATTTCCCTCGATAGAACACACTGACATCTTCCGTATGTCCCCTGTGCGTAGGGGCCACGTCTCTGATCCATAAGGTAGTGCGGATCACACCATCGCGGTGTAAACTCTTCCCTTGACAGACAAACTCACGTCACGTCGACGCCATAGATGTCAGAGGTTGGTAAAAGCTGACCCGGCCTTTCCGATTCGAGAAATAACCCCATCTCTAGCCAGTCCACCGGGGCCTAGATAGTTGTCCAGTTAAACCAATTTATTTACCACGCTGACTGGATCACCTGCAAGCATGAGGTGTGGGCTTGATCCCACCCAGTCTTGTAGCAGTACTTTGCGCTTTGCCAGTGTGAAGCACATGCCAAACCGTGTGGCAGAGTTATTGCAGTCATTTTAAATCGTTTGCACTTGGGAGGGATCTGAACCAAGGAGAGCCATATCGTCCGCATACTCAATGTCCGTGAGGGAACGTCCCGGGAGCATTTCGATTCCCGGAATTTCAGAGGCAGGCAGAGAAATTTCAAGCAGTATATCAATAACAAAGTTGAAGAGGAAAGGGGAAAGAAGACAGCCTTGTTTTAAACCACTGGATTAGGTGAACTCAGGCGAGCTTCCCGTATACTCGCGTATAATTCTCTTATCCATCAATACATACGATGGATCACCGTACATTCAAATCTAGTCAAACTGTTATGCTGTTAAAGTTGAAGGATTAACTCGAAAACGAGTCCTTATATCCACCGAAAAGACCGCGATTATGAACTGGTACTGCTGGAATAGGTGGGCATCCCTCATGTCAAGTTCAGCTCAGGGAAAGTGATTGATCGCATTTCAAATTCTCTCGTAAAACGATGCTTCAAAAGTTGTGCACATCCACACTGATCATAAACTTGGTAAATAGCCACCGATAAATATTTGCTGCGAAGTTGAAGGTCCTGAGCAACAGTGGGTCAAATCAAGACGCACTGGCGACCTTAATATCATTTCGCACATTACATATGTGAAGGAATCTCCCAGTGATTGAAGGATACGCGGACAATAAATACAACGAACTGATTCATGGAGAGCATGAGAGTAATTTGGGAAGCGGGGAAAAAGTACTTCAAGATGTTTGCCCTGGGAAAAACCTCGACACTTTGCCCTCAATCCTCCTTTTATTGTCCACTATGACAAAATCACAATGTGGACTGAGTCAAGTGCGCGGAAAATAAGTCAAAGCACAAAAGACAATGAAAGATCTCGAAACACAAGACAGATGATTTACGTTGGATTTTCTCCTTGGCTCAAAGATACTTGGGTGCTACTAAAAATAGGAACGACCCCGCAGAAAAGACAACTGTAACCACTTCTAGTCTACGCCAACCGAACAAAATGAGACAGACCTGCTTCAAACCCAACACTTCTGGTGGCAGTGATATCCGCGAAGTCACGGCTGTTCCGGGTCCATATAATTCTCCCTGGACAATCTGTCGACCACACTGACCGAAGGCGTTGTTGCCCATGGTAAACAGAAGGGGTCGGCCACGTATTCGTCCATCCTGCTCAGCCTGCGGTTCCAGACCAACGACACTATGAGCACGACCACAAGCAATGTGCGCGAGGGAAAGGTGTTCCGTTTCGGATTTGCTCAACGGTAGAAGTATTGAGTGCGGTGCTGGCACAACATGAATCGGTCTGGAATCCGGTGTTTCACTCTTCAACCCAAAGATCTGCATACCAGAAGAGGAAATCAAAGTATGACAATGTAAAATGCGCTTGACGCGTATTCTATAGGACCAGTTCCTGACAGCTCGCAATACATCATTTACTGCCCTCGTACGTCTGTCTACTTTATACGAACTGCGTGTAATCTGGTAGCCGCAGTCGTCCTGTGAGATCTTTAGCTGCCCAGATCTTACAGACCCTGTGGACACCTCAAGCCCAAGGGTAAGAACCAGGTGACGAAAATTTGCTTCTAATGAGAGCAACAAAAGTCAAGGCAACAGCTCCCCGCTTTTTGTTTTGCTATCCATTTTATAACGGCCGAGTATCTCGCGACCCTGACCCCATTTTATTAAGTCCATTTTCGACCAGATGAAATTTTTAGTCAAGATACGCCGATGTTCGGAGTAAAGAATGATGGGTTCGACTTCTCGGTTACACCTGAACATCTCGTTCTGAAGACCCCGTTTGACCTGTAAGGTTAGATGATGACCTACGGTGGTAACTCTGGAAGCGTACAGATTGGGTAGTAAATATTCTGTTAGAGTGGAGCAACTGCTTGCAAACATTGTAGAACTAGAACTTTATGTATTTAGAGTAACATAACCAAAAAGAAGTAAACCCAGCATGACACAAGCCTCTGGGACGACACGTAATAGAACACCTGAATGAACCATGGGCGTTGGAAGGAAAGCTGGATAGCCTGTACTTGCCGCAGTGGCTAACATTCCCAATTCAGTACGATAAAATCCGATGTAGCCTCAATACCTAATGTGAAAAACCCAAGTAGACAGGTCAATAATATCCTTCTGATCTTTGGAAAAACGGATATCGTACCACATCATATAAATTCACGAAGGTGCATCAGTGAGGAAGGTCTGTTGATCCCTCCGGTACTGCGGACAATTAACGCTTCAGCGTCTACCCGGTTGCATGGCGCTAATAGCGCATGTGTCGTTTCAGTTTCCATGGGTAATGATCTAAGAGTCGTCACCGAAATTGTATGGGCAATGCAGGCAACTAGAGTTGGAAGTGATGTGGAAGAAGGATAATCCGCGCGAGTAAAGGTTATTCCCTGGTGACCAGTTTCGGGAAAGGAAAGCTGTTTACTGTACTCCACCTTGATCGTGACTGAAAAACCTAAACCATAAGATAGAGGAATAGTCACTCTCCATCCAGGGTTCTCCCAGTGATCTTAGACTGAATAATGCAGCCCAGAAAGAAGAATGTGCCACGATTTTTTTCGGATAACCAACCCGAAGTCACGGTCTCAAAGTATGACCTACTTGGAGTGGGGAGCTGGACCGGCTTTGGAGGTATCCAAGTTCGGCTCCTAGGACTGGTGCACACTGTAGGTGCTTTTGGAACCATATCAGAATCTTGCTTCTCAATACTCCCAATACTCATCAGTAGATTCATCACCCCATTTGCCAAGAGAGCCAGATGTATGTCCCTCACTGAGAATACCGTGACATAAGGGATTGTATACGTTCTTCTCTGGAGTGATCATCTCCAGAATACACCACGTGGGAGAGATCTAGCCAGCTGCTTGGAGCATGTTTACACTATAGCCGCGTATATGTGTGAGTTTCTGTAGCGTTGCTCATGAGAATCCGGGTTCTAACAATTGCTAACCAAATACAACCGCAGAGCAGCTAGGATGATGTCACATCCAATGGGTTCCAGTCCCTTTGCAACGGAGTAGTACACAAAAGCAAACGGTTTAGATAACAAAAGACAATAGGACTCCTTCTACAAATTGGCAGTAGCCTACCTGTCCTAGTTGGCCATCTGAATTGATCCCGCACCCGTAAAGAGTACGTCGGTGCCGGTTGTCTCCACAAATATACATGGTGAACCCGTAACCACAAGCCGCCATGACGGGGTCATCTAGATTCCGGAGTCGTGCAGGATAATGAAGTCCCCATTTTGGAGACCACGAACCTCCTACAAATTTTTGTAAGCTACAAAAAACTGAAAGGAACAACTCACCTTGAGGAACGATCAAATTTTCTATACCTAGCGCTCCGGTTGTAGCCAAGCCAAACACATAGGCTCGGTTGCCTTTCCAGTGCATGTCAACGGCAAGATCGTGAACTGTACTGTCCCGAAGTTCTTGTTTCTTAGCTACCTTTTTCGATGCATGGGCGGCTGGTATGCGGATAACTTCATGAAAAACCCAACTTAGATTTTTCCACATGAATGACCGCTTCATGTTCCGCAACCCTAAAAATACGGAAAATCAGTTTAAAAATCCAACAGTGTTGGAGAAACTTGGTTAAAGACTCTAGGTTTCAGGGCGGCCGTAACCACACATTCATCAAACAGACCGATACGAGAAAACCATGAATTTCAAAACCCAAACCCAGAGTTCGACTAAAATCACCCCATCAGGAGCATGAGCTAGCGTAAAGATTAGGTCTCAAACACACAGCAGGAAAGGTTTTAATTCGATCAGTATCTACTTACTTTGTCCGTCTTCTGCGAAATCAAGCTCGAAAGAGCTCAGTGCTTAAGACGTAAACTTACTGACCGGACGGTCCCTGGTTCGAACACATCACAGCATCTCGACTGTTTATGTCTAGGCTAGGGCAACCTGACAGTATCTCGTGCTATCTGCTTCGGTTTGTTCTGCAAAAGCCAGCTCCCATCCCCGTTATTAATGGTGAGGTTTGGGAGGGTGGTGACCCAAGTATGTTTGCAGCCATGAAATCCGTAAATTTATTGAAGCTTTAGGCGTCTGGGCTGGTAACGACTCACATTTTTAGCTGGCCGTTCGGACGTTGGCGACAAACGATTCGATGAGCTCAGTGGCGACCCTTCCTCGCTAATTAGTTTTCCCGAGCATGAAGTGCAGCCGAAGATCCAAGATACTTAAACACCTCAGACGTCGCGACAGATGGATGGTGGTCCCATTGCCGCAATGCACGTTCAGTTCAGGATCAACTCGAAATTACCAGTGGTGACCACGTGAACAGTGCAGTTGCATTTAGTACCGAATGAAAAACCTTCGCTTAGCACGCAGCTGAAGCGACCGTTCGCCATTGTTCATACCTACCATGTCCAAATCAATTGGAACACCCAAAAAGCCCCTCCTGCACTAACTCTGTGCATCTGTGCACTCATACGCTCGTTAGCCAAAGCAATGCTTTGGATTTCACCTCACTGTGATGGTTGAAAAAGTCACAAAAGCTATCCTTGGTGGTGTTGTAACAATAGTCTGCTAAGAAGCAGACATGCGAAACGGGTGGTGATTCCCTCAGAAAAGTTACTAAGAACTTCATACGGGCGGATGTCAATGAGGGCTGCGTCAAGCTTGCCCATTCCGCCAGGCGATACAGGATACCAACCTTTGTACTAGCTGTAACAGAGGCCCCAGGATCACCAGAGTAGCACCAACGGGCGAGAATGTAAGGTAACGGGACAACACCAGTGCCTTAACCTTGAACTCATGTTTCCAATACGTCAACACATTGTGAAACAGCTTAGTCGTTGAGGCGCGAGGCTATTGACCCAGTGATCTGTGGTTCGAACCTAACCCTAGCTCTTCCGCTGATTCTCAAATGGCACTGGAAACCGAAGAATAATGTATTGTGCCCTCAAACGCTTGGAAGCGCCCCACGATACTGTGTGAAATTATTCCTTCTATAAAAGTGTATTGCAAGCAAAGCTTGCTTAGCCATGCTCTGACATAAACTAATAACTCCACATCATGACGGTATACCACGCAGGCCTAATACTCAAGATAAACGCAGATCGAGTGCTCCGATAATTCAGAGGTGTGAAAACATTTAGGTGCCCACCATCTGGGCCACCTTCACCCAGTTTCGGGCGCCCGCCATGTATCTTGTTGAAACGCATGACTATATGGTGGAGATTATCCTCCCATAGCTGGGTTCAACAAGAGTTATAAAACTTGACCAATACACCGGCACTGGTTTATCGAGTGTATATTTACTAATTTCCCGTAGAACAAGTGCTCTGAGTGATGATAAATCTGAAGGCGATCAATGAGACTTCAAACGTAGAAGAAAAGATGAATAAAAAGTAAACAGATATTGAATGCTGGATTACGGGAAGAGCCACAGAATAATGAGACTCCTCAAACGAAAAGGACACTTGGGTATTCAGTGTCATCCCAAGCTTGATGATCGTTTCTCCGGAATTATGCTTCAAATGGGGCCAAATAAACAGAGTACAATACGAAGTATAAACAGATTAATATTCCCTAAAGATTAAATACTTGATCTGGGGTTTATTAGGTTCCCCAAACCCAAAACTTTCGCAGACCCTCCGAACAGGGACTCCCGCCACAGGTTTCATATTATATATTTACATATAACTCGAGTGAGCTCGAGGTATTTGTGGTTAAGGCGCAAAGGTGTTGAACCGGAGGTCCGTCGTTCGAACTCAACCACAGCATCTAAAAGGTTCCTGTCTAGGCTTGGGCAACCTGGCTGTGTCCTAGCCCTCGTGCTTCCTTTGGGTAGCGTGACAGTTGGGCACCGACGAAAGGTCGCCAGGCGAGATGGCTCAGTACTTAGAGTGCTTATTTTCTGACAGCAAGGCCGAAACCGACCTCTGTATCCCGACTTCCCTGTCTAGGGTTGGGCAACCTGGCACTAACCCAGCCCTCGTGCTTATTTCGGGTGGCACGGTAGCTAGGCACCGAGAGGGTGTTGCAGCTGAACGAATTTATAACTACGGGTGGGGGTATCCACCATCCTAAGCTTTGATGTAGGTTTGAAGATGCTTGCTCTCTAGAGCTAACACCAAACCGCTTAGCACGTGTAGGACAGAATGACTCGCACGAATTTCCGAAGGTAGGGACAGATTTCATAGTGTTCAGTCTACTACGTTCGTGGTATAATCTGAGATTTGTCGTAGGCCCGAGCTTCAACGTAAAACACACTGAAATATGTTCGGTTCGAGGTGGAATCGATAGACGACGGTCAAAAATCTGAACACAAAACTTCCAATTAACAAGAAGTTGAGCCAAATCTTGCGTTAAACATCCTGTCATCATCATCAATGACAGTGTTAGGCAGGAATCCACGCGGATCCAGAGCCAGAGCCCAGTAAGCAAGGTTGTACATCACCAATACTTACATATGAATCAATCAAACTGACAGACGCCGTATACTACACCCACTATACCGCACGTCTTTAGGCGCTGCTACGGCCGAGAAGCCTGGCCCGGTCGTGGTTGGCCCAGAATTCGGGACGCTTGCCGGTCCGGCATCAAGGCGAGATCTGATTGGTCAACAGTCTGGACCCAACAGCCAATCATGACCCAGTTTTGGCCAGATGCCGGTTGCCAATTGCGCATCCAGAACGCGTCAGAAATTCCAGAAAGTTATGACCTCTTACGCTATATATACGAAGCGCTGTACAACTGTTCTTGACTTCGTTTTGGGCGTTAATAGACCTTGTGCACCTTTGGTGGTTGTTTTGACGTGAACGCTAGCTTGGGAGGCTCAGACCGAGAACTAAGCTGTGGAAAATGCCGTTACTACAGGCAGCGACACAAGCTGCATTAGTGAAAGGAGGGCCAAAGAGTAGCAACGAAAAGCTGTGCTACGGTTAACCATGCAGCAAAGTAGTACACTGCAATTGAAGTGTGAAGGCAGTAAGACGCTTCTCCCAGACGGCTAGCATGCCCATATTCATGGAAGCAGCTGTGGTACCTTCCCCAGAAGAATGACGTGCTAGAAAAGGTTGGCCCGGAAAACCACACACTCCGATCGCCCAACGGTTGACACTGAACGCCGGCGCGTTATTCAATACCGTCAAATACTTTCAAGATCAAAGAGACTGATCCCCTCAAAAGGCACCCGCACCGTGAAGTTGCATGGGGACTGCGACAATAATGCTTTATTCTCTGCGCCCTCGGGCATTCTGAGGTTCATTAGGCCAGACGATTGAATCAACGGCTACAGGAAGGATTCCCAAAGACAGCCCAACTGATCGCCGCCAAGTGGGGCAGACTTTTGCCTGCTACCGCCTTGTGGGCCGTACCTTTGAGTCATTGGAGGACATTGCGGAACCGGATGCATATGACTGTGGCATTGGCGTAGTGATTTCACATTTATCCCCCGACGGCAGCCAGAAAGCTTTTGCACATGCAACCAGATCCCTGGAGACAACCGAGCGCAGTCACAGCCAAATGAAAAGGACGATTTGACGATCGTATTTGCCGTCAGAAATTTCCATAAAATGCTCTACGGCGCCAAGCCCAAATTCGCCAGATACAGCACCACCAACAGGAGCATTGCTCCGACGAGCGCTGCGAATATCGTGGGACACTATACCGCTACTCATTACGAATGCACTAGCCATCAAATGCAAGTTTTATGACAGCTAGAATGCCATGTCCCGGCGTGCTAAAAGCTCAGCTATCGTTGTGAATGCCAGAGACATGAATGCCAAAGTGAGCAGGCTTAACACAGCTTCTGCTTTTGGACATATTCTTCAGTGGAAGTTCCCGTCACGCAACCAAACACTCACTTTCCAGTTGCCTGGCCACTGATTCGCCGACGCCAACCCACGCGAGCTAGGGTCCCGAGACAACGATTGTCGAACCTCTGTAGACATCTCAGTCCCGCTGCTCACAGCCATACAATAAAACAGCCCGCACTATAGCCCGATAGACACATCCCCTGAGAATCAGGGATGTACCGCTTTGACGCCATTAATGTTCCAAATTATCAAACGCGACCCGATCCTCGCAGATTCACGCATCCTCCTCACCTGTACTCTAATACTAACACCAATACGACTTCCAATATACGTAAAACGCCCAGCAATTCCGAATGCCTCCACCTGGATTGTAAGTGGCGTGTTCAGTGACCGAATGTATAGGAGCATGACCTTACACTTTCTGGATGCACAGCGCATACCAAAGGACGGAGTGACTTTACTTAGTTGCACTGCGTCTTCTCTTCCTCTTCGAAAAAGTTTGATGTAGCCTGCACATTTCAAATCTACAAGGGCTGGGTCAGTAGCTGTGTGAACACCAGGTCTTTAAATACCTTGCAGTGTTTGTATCATTATTTCATTGGTTACGAAATTAAATAAGGATGAAGTGGGTAGGCACCCCTGATGGACACCGTTTTGTGTAAGAAAACCTTTGAAGAGCTACCCGTATACTCTCACACACCCGGAATTCCAAGACTACAAAGTGTTTATTGCCGATAAATCTCCGGTTTATTTCTTGATGGCCAAGCGCGTTAAAAAGAGTAGACCAGTAAACTGGGTCAAATGCGCCTTGGAAATCCGAGACTACCAAGATTATGGATCAATAGTACGTATAACTTTAACCCATCTTTAAACAAGGTGGATGGGTGGCAGTTCTGACCAGAAGCTCGGTGGTGCTTGACAGAACATATGCAATCACAAACCTCCAAGGCCGTAAGGGGTACCACGTTCACCATTCGGAGTTCTACGTCAGCTATGGTCTCCAGATGAGCGGCAGCTGGTGGACACAACAACCGCCGTTGAAAGAATTCGGCCCAACGATTCAGGCATTCTTCTTTATTCATCATGGTTGCTCCTTTCCGATCCTTGACGGTTCCGCCCGCCAGTGGTTTCCGGGGGCCGGTTGCACGGACTGAATAAAATAATCTCCGGGCGCTATCGGCTTTTTGGGCCTCTTCCATTTCCCTGGCTTTGTGTTTCCACCAGACTTCACGGTCAGCTCACGCGCTCGCTTCCAATTGACATCTGAGAATTTGTCGCTCCAAGTTGTGTTCGGTACCGGGTGGGATATTTCTCTGCGATTTAAGCAGTGCTGCCATTCGGTCTGATATCCGGTGCTTGAATAGGCCTGGTCATCATCGTCATCATCCAAATAAACCGGGCGTATCCCGCCGCATCGTATCCATAATCATTTCAAATATGACCGTCTCGACATCAGACAGTATTCAGATGTAGTAGAACAGACCGCCGTGCGTACTTGTGGTCAAGCGCCTTCAGGACATTCCTCAACTTCAACCTAGATGGAAGTCTCGGCCAGAAAAAATTTTGTAAAACATTTCCCCCCCCCCCAAATTTCGCGAACAGGTTGTCTGGCATTGGCAGAGGTCTCATTGACAGCAGTGAGACCGGTGGAGAAAGTCGCATATAAGCGGATGGTCCCACTAGCCCTCTTCACCAATACGATCGGTGCGGCCCGTGAAGGGGCGTTGGTCGGTTGGATAATACAAGCCTTCTGCAGTCGGTCCAGTTCCCGGTCAACGATGGACAATGGTGCATATGGTACTGGGCGTTTCGGCCCAGAAACTGGCATGGCACTAGGGCGGACACACTTTGGCCTTGCTTCTGAGCACCGTCCAAGCCTGTCGGCGAATATAATTGCACGGCGTTGAAGGAGGTCCTCAATCGAACGCTCCAAAAGACAAGTTAGCTTCATGGCGTCTCCAGGTATGGTATGCATGAAGCTGCAAACAGGATTGACCGATTTTTTAGTAGAATTAGCTTATCGGCCCAATCCAGCCCCGCGGTATCAAATTAAGGGAATGGCCAAACATAGACTGTGGCTTGGGCTGTAGAGCCATTAAGGGAGCAGTCAGCGCCGCCTATCAGTTTCAGCTTACCTCCAAAATCTCTCAGTCGGTTTTATATACGGCTCACAAATTCGTTTACATTCTCATTTACTGAGTAGCGTGATGTCGGTGCCCATATGTCCACGTGGACACCATCAGTCAAGTCACCTACTTCAATCACAGCGTACGTTGTGCTTCAGGTTGAAGATCATACCAGCATGCTGACCAATCCGGTGAAGCAGCAAAGTGCTTATGTATGTATCTTTGGAGGACTGGAGCCTGCATTCAAAGAGGCACTTGAATCGGTTTTCCGTCATTGAACTGATCTTGAAGCGCTCATATTTCCGATTGGCAACACCAGCAAATATGATGGAGTGATCATCGTCGTTCCAGAAACTGTAACAAATAATGAACGGTGACGATTGGTCACGGAATTTGTAACAATATTTTGACCAGTCCATCAAGGATGAGCATGCGGAGCAGCTCAGATAAAATGCGGTTCGTATACCGTTCATGGTCCGGTGTGCCGAGAATTCGCATGAAGTATGCGCAGAACTGTGGGCAAATACGAGCTCCGTGATTTTTGCCGCGGTTGCACTGGCTGAAGAAGCTTCTTCCTAGGGAACCCATTAGTGCTAGCTCTCAGTAAACAGTGCCACCGGTGGCTAACGGTGGCCAAAGTTGGCTAGCTTTGCCGCTGAATTTGTTGGTGAATACAAGCCAAACATTGCATTTGTTGCATAAAAGCCTCCTGAAAACAAATGTAACAGGATACTCTGGATACTGGAGCTCTATTTACGAAGGAATTTTTGAAACCGATATGTTTGAATGCACCACCAATTAAATATATCATGGAATTTTTGGGTTGCCACCATTGGCCTCTTTTAGCCACCGGTGGCGCCACCGGCGGTGCCGGGGTGACGTGTTTACTGGGCTGCTGTCGTCCTGTAGTGACGGTATTTTTCTCAAATTAGTTCTTGGTCTGGGCCTTCCCAGCTAGCGTTAACGTCGAAAACAACTATCAAAGGTGCACGAGGTATATTAACGCCCAAAAACAACGTCAAGTACACGTGTGCAGCGCTTCATATATATAATGAGGGCGGTGACAACTTCCCGTTAGTTCTGTAATATGCACGCTACGGAAGCACCGGGGGACTGATTCTCCGAAGGCAGGTGTTCACGACTATTTCTGTGGATGGAAAACAGAAACGAAGCTCGTGAGCCAACGCCCAGTAAGCAAGGCTGTACATCACCAATGCTTACATGTGAATCAATCAAACTGACAGACACCGTGTACTGCAGTTCTAAAGCCTATCGGGTGCACCATTGGCAGCCGGCATTCATCCAATACTGGGTCATGATTGGCTGTTGCGTTTAAACTTTCAAACGATTAGATCTTGGCTTGAAGCCGGACGGCGCCCAGGACTCGCGAAGGGGAATGGAATTTCTGAAAGCTACGACGTGTCACTTATATACTGAAGCAATTTGGCAATTGAATTCAAAGTACCAGTTCAAACTTTTGAGCCCCATTTAGGCATCCCGAGCCCTCAGAGCTTCTGGGAAATTATTCCACCGGACTTTTCCGCCAGGGGACTGATTACTTCACTGGACAATGAAATGTGGTGAGCTGCAAAAATATGATCGCATATTCGGGTGGTTTTTGGTTTGACAACATACGCAACAAAATGCAACATTTTGACGCAAAAAGTTCTACTCTATTCGTAAAGCTTTTTCAGCTAACAGCATTGTGCTGCTAATGTGCCCATGCCGACCGGCAAGCGTCCCGAACTTTTGGCCAATCTTGCGCCAATTAGGCTTCTTGGCCGTAGCAGCACGTTACTTTGATGGGTAAAGCGGGATCCGCGTGGAATTCAGCCTGACACGTCCCGACACGAGGTCTCTGATTCAGTTATTCGATGCATTTCTTCAAACTGCTTTTACTGCTGCCGCACCAATTCTCGAAGCTGATTAAATTGAAAAGCGTCGTGGGTACTCGTTTACTGACAATACTAGCTGTAACATTTACAAATTCAGTTGGGCTCTGTTCTTGCCCCGATCCACCCACGCCAGCATTTTCAGCAAGAAAACCACAAAGGCCACACAGGACCCATTAAACACCAGAAGGCAAGTCAAGATACACGTGCAGTGCATGGTATTAATGGTCAAAGTGGCATTGGCAACCGGAATAAGGTGGTCGTACTTTTGGACAACCAGAGATCCATCTGGACAGATAAGCGGTCCCATTTACTGACCATTTACGCGTCGGTTGGCTTGTTGATTGCAGCACTGCTTAACTAGCTTCTAACTAGATGCGCGCCCGAATTATTTTTCCGATTCACGGATTCGCGGCTTGATACACGGGATCGAAGCATTCTCCCAAGTTTTCCCGATCGGTTTTGCTCTTGCCATCCAATGGCTTCGTTTACCTGAATGGCACAAGCGGTAAAAGGGTGAGGCTCTGCTCCTCAATTTCTCAGCGTGGGCCAGTGGGCTTGCCTGCGCAAACATTCGCATTAAATAGCGTCTGATAGTGCTTCTAACTAGGTTTTTGATAGAAGGAGGACTACCGACGGAGGGAGATTTTTCATGCAGAAACTACCCTAAATGAGGAAAATTGTTAAGTAATAATATCTGCGCTATGAGCTCAAAAATCTTGTTACCATGTCTCAGTCGTTTGTTCTCTGGATCAATGGTGAAAAACCTGTCTGCCAAACCTTGTTTAAACAAGGGATAAGTAAGCATTGGAGCTCTTCGGAGTCGACGATGCTCCAGGGAAAACAGGTCAAACACCATGAGACGCGGTCACAGTCGACGGATTTAATGCCCACAACCATCTTCGTAACAGCTCTTCGGACACTTTTAATGAGGATAACCTCCTTGCGTGTTGAGTACACAACTTGGTTGGCATATTCGATAAGTGGCCTAGCATGGGCCCCATAGACTTTTTGGACGTCCTGGCGAGTAGTACGAGGGGGGTGCATTGAATCGTCGGTGGAACGGCGAACGGCCTATGAGCCGATTTCTCGCGGTGCAGTGCAGAAGACATGTTTGAAGACAGCCGTATACCCAAGGCCCTTTTCGGCATCCTTCCTCGTGATGCCTTGTGGTCCATTCTCAACATGCGCAACAAAGGCTCTTGCTGAGTCCGCCTTGAAAGACATATCGACGCACTTCTAGTCATTCGGAGGAGGATGCTACCACTACTTGCAGCGTCCACATCCATTCATGGGTTACTGAAATTTGAACTGCAGGAGTTCAAGTCGTCCGCAGAAAGTAGGAATGAACCTCATAGAACGTCTGAACTGATGTTGACTTTGTCCGAAAGCAGAGGAACTCCGGTGGAGACCGGAGTTGGAGAAGAGTAGGTCGAGCATACCAGGTGAGTTTCTCGTCCTTCATATGTATTACCTTGTTCATAAGTGAAAGCATATTAGAAAAGCAAGAAGAGTTTGCGGAAAATCCGTGTTGAACATGAGATATCAAGTTGTTGGTAGTATAGTCACCATAATGCAATCATAATGCCTTCAATCACCTTGCATGGTATGTTAGTAATAATATTAATATTAATAATAATAATGATTATTACCAGTAAAGCAGAATGTCCTGTGGCTGCCAAGCGATAATTCGCCATCAGTTTTGTAGAGGCAAGGTTACTTTCGTCGAGCGACTGACGAAATTTTGAGTTTTCAAGTTGCAACTTTGAGCGAGGTTATTGATAATGTTTGTTCCCAACATGAGGCTGGCGCGTCATCGGACATGATCATAAGGTTAATTCACAACAAAGCCTTGACTCTCATGAGGAATGACGGAAAGACGGTTTGCCGGAGTCCAAGATGAACGTTCCTGTTAAGAACGACCCACTGCTCCGCCAGTTCCAGCCTGTCTAATTTCCCTGGGTTTTTCGCGTCTCTGAAGTGTAACTTAAATTTTTTGAAACATTTCCTCCAGCTTCTGGGATTCGCTTTTGGGATAAAATCCTCACCCAGTCTTCACTGCGATTGTTATTTTACCGCTAGTTTCCAATCGGCTTAGAACATTTGCTCTCTTTTTAGCGGCACATGTAAATCTTTGTTCTATCGCCATCTTGATTTGCTTCGTGAGGTATGGTCCCACTG